ATAAGAAGTAGTTAGGGGGTGCTGGGGTTGTGGCTCAGTGGTAGAGCACTCGCCTAGCACATATGAGGCCCTGGGTTCGATTCTCAGCACCACATAAAAATAAATAAAATAAAGGGATAAAAAAAAAGAAGTAGTAAGGGGAAGAACATAATGAATTTAAAGACTGGATTATGGGTCCAGTACTGTGCTAGGTATTGTGTATGTGATCTCCCATTAATTTTTAAAAAAATATTTTTAGTTGAAGATGGACACAATGCCTTTATTTTATTTATTTTTTATGTGGTGCTGAAGATCAAACCCAGTGCTTCGCAGGTGAGGCAAGTGCTCTTCCACTGAGCTATGATCCCAGCCCTCTCATGAATTTTTGCAAAGTTCTTGAGAGTAGCTATTATTATCTTCTATTGTAGAAAGAGAGATCAAAGAAATTAAATTTTTCTATTTCTCTGATATATATAAACACTCTCACACACATTTTTCTGTGCTGGGGATTTGAACCCAGGCCCTTGAGTAGGCTAGGCAAGCCTTCTACCACTGATCCCTACACCCAATCCTGATACTGGATCACTAATATGATTTGTTAATAATGCGTGGAGTGGGATTCAGAGCCTCGCAGTCTGGCTGTAACAGTCGAACACATTTCGCCCTTGCTCTTCTGCATCTCTCTTTTTGGAATGTGCATTCTATGTCAGATCCTGTATATTGACAGTTAATATCCTCATAGTGGTGTAGCAAATTATTATTCCCATTTTACAGATGAGAAAAAAAATGAAGCTCAAAGGAATTAATAAATTTGCCCAAAGCAAATGACTCAGCCAAACTAGTTACCCAACAATTCAGGCTCCAGGCCAAGTCTTTGGGCCTTGCTCAGCTTTCCTAGAGGTGCAGAATCTAGAACAGCAACTTTCTAGCAAGTAGAACTAGCCGAACCCCAAACGGATCCTGCTGTGGGTAGGACGTGGGCTTGGGATCTCCCTTTTTCTGGAAACCTTGGAATGAAAATTTATATGCACTAGATAAGGAAGGGGTAGAGGAAATTCAAGCATCATATAAAGTGTTGAACCAGATGCCCTGTGAGGTTTTTCTTCTGCTCTGGGATTTTATAACGCCGTGTTTTCGTCTCATCTTCCCATGTCATCTTGTTTTCCCCTGGGTGTCCTCAAACGGATGTGCAAATCTCACTCTGATATTTGAATCTGGCTCTGGGGGTTAGATTGCCTCTGTAAGATATTCACTTGCTAGGATATTTGACATGATGCCTTGGGGGAAATGTTAGGTCATCTGCAAAGTCAGCGGCATAAACAGGAAGTGGTAAAGTTGTTAACTAAGGAGGAAAATGGAGTGTGAGGGTCTGCCCACAATGTGAAAAGGTGGATCTCCCTGCAGCGTCAGGGTCTCTCTTGGACATGCTCTTAGAGTGAAAATGTCTGGCTGTCTTGACTCTGTCTTTTCAAGATGTTTATCAGATGCCCATTTTGGGAGTAGTTGTTTCCCTAGGGTTGTCTCAACTTTAATGACCTCCACTGCAACTTGCCCACTCCACCAGACGTCTTATTTTCAGCTCTGAGTGTCTGTGGGAAGAAATGCCTTTCTTCCTATGACCCCAGGTGCCTTGCAGTCCTGCAGTGAGGCTCTGGCATGCTGTCCGTCTTGCCTTCTGAAACTCTGTCTCTTCCTGTGTCCTTAGTCCTTCGAGGAACAAAGTACATCAGTGTTCCAGGTTCAGGGCTTCTGTCTACATTTGGGTTTGCATGTTTATGCTCCCCACTCCCCCCAGTWCCCTATCAATCCTCTGTACATTTTCCAGGCATATAACTTTGCTTGGATGACATCATGTTGGTGGTGTGGATGGGGCAGCCAAAGCTTGCCCTGGACTCTTCATGTCATTCCAGCTCAAAGCTGAGAAGAATCACTTGCCTCCTTTTACCTGCCCCCTACTTTTATGTTGTCTGGACTTTATTTAACTGTTAATTCAGCTGGATGTTTAAATGTTTCTCTGGAGGAGGTAGGAAGGTGGGGAAGGAGGTTGAAGTGATTAAATAACTGACTGGTGTTCCCCAGAGTCTCAGAAAGTTGACTGCTCAGTATGGAGCCAAGGTGGCAAATGAGTCCTATACCATGGGATGGCTGGCTGCTCTAATGTGGGTAGAGGCATAGAGTAAGGGCCTGTTCACATGAGGGGTTTTCCATATCTGCCACTGGGGTGGGGGGGTGGTTATCCTAATTAGTTGTACATGACAGTAGAATGCACTTTGACACATTATCCATAAAAGGAGTAGAATTTCTCATTCTTTGTAGAATCACATTGGTGGTATAGTCATATAAGTGCATTAGAAACAAAACAAAACAAAACAAATAACCCAATCAATAAATTGGCTAAGGAACTGAATGGACACTTCACAGAAGAAATACAATCGATTCAACAAATATATGAAAAAATGTTCAACATCTCTAGCAATTAGAGAAATGAAAATCAAAACTAAGATTTCATCTCTGCCACCTTTTATTTAATAAATTCAAATTGATGACAGTGTTGTCCCTATAAATTGGGATAGACTCCCAAGGACTTTGATGCAGTCGCTATGCCCGTAGTTCAGCCCAATTGCAGAAGGGGAGAATTGGGTGTTGTGTCTGTGGATTACCATTAGGAGGAAAACTGGAAAATTATGACACATATGTACACACATGCATCATATTGAATTTATTCACATTTGATGGTCCAGTGATTGATTATTAAACGTCCTTTCAAATATTGTGGATTAAGTGTAAATCCTGACAATTCCATTCCATTGAACATCTTAACTTTTGGTACTGGGACATTACCTATTATTTTTTGAGGGTGGCAGCAAAGAAGAATCATTTATTCTCTGGAGAAAGTACTTTTACAAGTCAGGCGATGATTGTTGGTGAGACTGGAACCACTGAAATGGAGTGTACTCTAGTCTCCGTGACAGAGAAAGACACCAAACATTGCTATGTATAAAAACAGCATCGAGGGCTGGGGATGTGGCTCAAGCGGTAGCGCGCTCGCCTGGCATGCGTGCGGCCCGGGTTCGATCCTCAGCACCACATACCAACAAAGATGTTGTGTCCGCCGAGAACTAAAAAAAAAAAAAAAAATAAAAATTAAAAAAAAAAAAAAAAAAACAGCATCGAATGTAATTGGGAAGGCCTTTGGGTTACTAGCAAAGTCTCCGAGGGTTAGTGAACTTTCTCTGTGGTAGCAGCATATTAATTTATAACCTTTACAGAAAAAAGGATTATTTTTTTTGTAGACGTTAAAATCCTGATTAGACCCATCCAGTAACCCTTCACATTTTCTTCCTCCCTCCCTTCTTTTCCTTGTTCTTTCCTTCTTCTTTAATTTCCTTCTTCTCTTACAAAAATAAAACAAATTAAAAGATCAACTATTGAAAAAATGCAAGACTGTCTGGGCTTTATACCAGTGTCTTTATTTATTCACTGAAAGTGCCATTCTTAAAACAGATTATTTCTTAAAAAAAAAAAAAAAAAGAGGCCAGGGATGCTGGTGCATGTCAGTAATCCTCGCTACGAAGGAGGCTGAGGCAGGAGGATTACAAGTTCAAGGGCAGTTTGGGCACCTTAGCAAGACCCATCTCCAAATAAAATGAAAAGGGATGGGGTATGGCTCAGTAGCAGAGTGCTAGCTAGTGTGTGTGAGGTCCTGGGCTTTATTACTAGTACAGAACAACAACAATAACAACAAAAAAGCCTGTCAGGCAATATGTATTGGAATCTAGAGCTTTCAGTGTGTTTTCTGCTGCATGCTAACTATCCGGGGCGGGGCTGTGATATGAAATATTGTTCCTTACTTAACATTTTACTCTCTAATCTACGCATTGCATATTTGCTTCTCTTGTGACCTTCTCTTTGCATTTATAACTGCTGCTTTTCGCCCATAATCCAAAAGTAAGCAGACATTCCTACGGAGAAATTAAAGGAAGCTGTCAGTGGAGAGTTAATATAGTGAAAACATCCTTAACTCCGCTACCAACCTCTTAAATAATTAAAACTGTATGCTCCAAGAATCACATTTGCATTTCTTTACCAAGTTTATTTAGTACACTTTGTTACACTCAATTAAATGAGAATGTTCTGTTTCATTTTCTTGGCTTCGGGTTGATCACTTTGCCTTTTGATTCTTAGGCCCTGGTGTAATTTCACAGTGCTTAGGTCTCTAAAACCATACATATATTAATGTATATGTAGACACATACATACCCATTAAAAGGCGCACTTTATAGGAAATAGAATCTTTCGCCCAAGGCTCCTGAGCATTCCTTGTAACCTGAGGTGTAACTGGGACAGCAGATAAATTCATGGTATAAAGATGAGCTTGACAAAGTTCTTTTAACATCCAGTTTTGTTTTTTTTTTTTTAAGCCTTGTTATTTGGCATCAATTTCCCTCTCCACAATTTGATTTGTGAATCTCTTAGCAAAAACAGAAAAAATACAGGTGTTGAATGGTTGTGGAAAGGAAATTAAATGTAAGTGCTGTCTCTCCGCATCTCAGTTGGCAGAGCCTGTGCAGACGGCTCTCTGTAAATTAGTTCATTGCTTAAGTTATGCATGTTTAAGAAGGAATAAATTAGTTATCCATCTCCTAATGAGTAGTGGGATCAATTGAAGCATGATGAGAGAGAAATAGCATAATTTTGCTTCCTCAGTTGGGGTTCAATATCCCCAAACTTCACTATTAATCACTCTATCAATTTCCTGGGTTATTTCTGATTCTCCAGGTAAGATATTCTTCCCTTTTAATTTTCCTACCAGGTAAGTAAGACTTTTTTTGAATTTGTCCAGTGGGGTTGTGGATGAGGGATGCTTCATACTCCCAAATGTCCCCTGTTACTGTGGGTCCTTTTGCCTCTGCATTGGTTGGTTTGGGTGTGTTCACGTAACAGTCGATATGTATGTGCGATGACAATTGCCAGGGTTCTAATATGTTTAACTGTTATGGGATCTGTTATGTCTACTTTAGGGTCGACCCCATCCCATATGACACTCCAAAACCAGCGGGCCACACGCGGTTTGTCTGCATCTCAGACACACACTCCAGAACAGATGGTATCCAGATGCCTTATGGGGACATCCTTCTCCACACAGGCGATTTCACCGAGCTGGGACTGCCCTCAGAGGTTAAGAAGTTTAATGACTGGTTAGGTAAGGAATGATTGCGTTCTGGCGGCCCCAATTAACCTTTCCCGTCCAAGTGTCACTCACTGCGTCCTAATTGAATTAGAGCACTTGGAAGCCAGCTCAGCCATTTCTCGTATGATATGCGGTGATGTCTAGCTTTAATCCAATTCTGTTAATTAAAGATGAATTTTTAGATATTTAATTTTACTGTGCATCCTTTCAGTGCCTGGCCTCGGCGGCTCTGGGGCAAAGGGATGGGAAGCTTTGAAACCGATCTCCTCTCACTCATTCTGCTTTAATGAGGGTATGCGTTGGCACACAGGAGACCTAGAATCATATTTTTAATTCACTGGCTCTGCAATCTTTCCCAGATATTAGGATCAAAGATGTACAAATGACCTAGTAGTAAGAGAACATTTCTAAGAAATGGAAGAGGATGTAACTGTCCTTATATGAAGTGAAGTTGCTCTAGCACAGTGCTGTTTAGGAGCAGCTTTTCTAAGTGTTCTCGAGGGTGCCTACGATCCCTGAAAAAAATCACATCCTGCTGTAAAACTCACCAAATCTAAAATACGAAACTGCCCTGGAACTGTGGAAAGGCACCCATGGGTTGTGGGTTCTGAAAAATATTGGGTCCTAAGTCAGGTAGTTTGCAAGTAGTATTGCAAAGCAGTCTGGGGATTATTCATATCTTTATGAGAAGATGGATCTGGAGCTGGGGTGTTGCTCAGTGATAGAGCATGTGCTTAGCATGCATCAGAGCCTGGGTCCAATCCCTGATCCATTAAAAAGAGAAAAAAAAAGGGGGGGATATTTATAAGAATTGTCTTAGGTGGGAGAAAGAAGTAAAGAAGTATAGCATTCTGAGAGCTTAGAAACTCTAAAGACACTATGGAATTATAACATGAAGAACAGAAGATTAATGTCAGGCAAAAAAGTATTAAGGAGATTCAGGCAAAAACACTAAAATGTTTCCCATCAAACTAGAGTAAGGTTTGAGAAATTTTTAAATGATTGGTTAAATGATAAGAATGTATGTGTTAAAGAGAAATAATATTCTTTAAACATGGTTAAAATATTTAAAAAAATAAACAAGCCTAATTAATAACGTAACAATTTTGGTTTTAAATGTGATGTTACAAATCAATCCAACTTATAAGCAGTTGAGTCAGAATACATACACCTTACTTTTGGCTATTTTCATTTAATAGTGTTGGTAAGATTTTAAATGGTTTTATGTAATTTTCTTATTTATCCTTTTTAATAGCAATGTGACGTTCATCTTGTTTTCTGTTTCTTAACTTTGTATGACTTTTCTACAAAAATGAACATTTACTTTGATATCAGTTTTTTCTCTGGTAACTGGCATTGAAGTGTGCATTTCCATGCGTATGTCTTTTTGCTTCCATTGACTTATTTCTTAGGATAAAACATTATGTCTGAGTTAAATTTCTAGGTCAAAGGATGTGAAATTCCTGTGGTTCTTGCTGCTTATGGCATTTTGCTTTCCAACAGCACCATGGCTGTTTCCCTGCAGTAAAACGAATGTAACGGTTTTACCAGGATCGTAGCAGTGCTGGATGTTGGGGGCTTTTCTATTTTGTGCTCTTTTATGCTCAATCTTATTTAAAACAGTAACATTTTAAATACCATCTGGCATAATCACCTCCTTTTTTAGGTGGGGCAGAAATTTAGAGAAGTTAAATGACTTTCTCAATACCATTGTAGCAGGTTTGGGTCTCTAATTTCTATCTTTTCACTTTTTTTTTTTTTTGCCTCTGTTAAATTTGCTTTCAAGGACAATCGCCTCATTATTTTAGCCAAGTTTGTGAACTCTTCATAGTTAAAATTATTTGGGGGTGAATTTTGGGCATTTTAAGCTATTCTATGACATCTGAATCTCAACACAGATACTCAGGAGCTTAGTGGACAGTTCTTTTTCTGGAGGAAGGGAGCTGCATTGTGGAGTGTTCACAGAAACAGGAGACAAGAGACAGGTCAGATCCTGGTTATAATCTTGTTTAGACACTGACCTTGGGCAACTGAATGCACCTCTTTTCCCCTTGGTTTCCCTCTGCAGAACTAAGGATTAATACTACCTGTCTTTCTGGATTGTTGTGCAGATTAATCAGTAAATGATTGCTGCTAGTGAGTTTTTGTGGGCCATTAATAACTGAATGGAGAATGTGGTGAGTGAACCATCAACAGATATTTAAAGGATAAAAACAAGAAGAGGTCAGAGGAATTATTTAGTAGATTAGAAGTAAACACTGGGAGATTTTATAAGGCAAAAGTACTCCATAAATGGAAATGTGCCGTAACTAAGGAAATAAAATGATAAGGAAATAAAATGCTAAAGGCCAGCTGCACAGTCAGTTCCTCCTTTTCTTACGTCTCCTCTGATCTTGTGAGGCAGGGAGAAGAGACTTCAGCATGGGGTGCAGAATGAGAAACCAAAGGGAGCCCATGGGATATGGGTAGAGAAGTTGGGATCCCATCGAGAAGGCTGAGAATAGCTCACTGTTACCAGGGCAACCTCATGGTGCTCAGAGGGTGAGAAATGGTGTGTGATTACACTCTGCCACTTGGCCCAATCAGGAACCTCTCCCTAGGAAGGGGTGCTGCCAACAAGAGCTGCCAGGTAGCCTGGCAGAGCAGAGTCAGGTCAGATCATCCTAGGGCCTTACCACAATGGTACATTCAGCTCTCAGCAGCAGAGGTCTCACAGATCAGGCAGGCACTTACACTTCTGATTGATTTCCATCTTTCTACCATCTAGATGACTCTGATCATTGAAAACAACCTGGTCATAACCCAAGCTCCCCTACTTTCCCACTGGATAAATGTTTCTATTACAGGCCAGGCGCTCCTTCTTCACCTATAACATTCCTCTAAGTTGCTAATGTCAGTCCCATTTTATGGATGAGGAGCCCGAGTTCAGCAAGGTTAACTTACCCAAGGTCATTTAATAGATAAGAAGTGCAGAGAAGCTAAGAATTCTATCCAGGGTCACTCAGGCAGTAAACCCTGAGCTCTTAACTCTAAAATGTGAGTCCTCTTCTTTTATTATTCTGTGATATTCTGACTGAGTTTGAATTAAAAGAACTGATGCAGCTCCTGGGAGCTTCATGCAGAAGTTGCATAGCTATTTGGTAATGTGCTAATAGCGCATAGGTTTGAAAGATGTATTTAGGTCCTGCCCATCTTGATGCTTTCTTGACCTTCCAGCTGTAAGGCCTGAGAATCCTGCCATGAGCTCCCTGTCATACCTGGCAGGTATAACATGTAAAATTATTAATGTAAGGTACTTTATGGTATAAACTAGCACACACAGCTCAGGGCCATAAGAAGATGGAACTCAAGCCAGCTACAGACAAAGGACAGGAACGTGGAATAGCGTGTTGGGGTTATGAGCAGTTGGGAAAGTTCAGCCTTGAATTCATTAACTTTGGTAAGTTGTTTGAACTCCTGAGCTTTGATGTTCTAATCTGTAAAATGGGCATTGTAGTAAGAATGTGCCCCAAGGTTGTTGTGAGGATATACTCTGTGCTAAAGATTGCACCATTCTTAAAACAATTCTTGATCTGTGACAACTTTCAACCAATCGTACAAATGGTAACAATAAAGCCAGCATCATACACTCTGATGGGCAGAAGCTAAAAGGGGCTGACCCTGGGGATTTCAAGAGGGACTTAGGGTTGTAAGAGGGAGCACCAAAATATCTAAAATTAGAGGCTGGAAACACACTTCCCTCCTAGACAGTGACACTAACTGGATGGGAGATTACAACTGGAAGAGGCCTTGGGGTCCTTGAATTCTGCTTCCTAATTTAATAGCAGTGGAAACTGAGGCCGGAGGGATTGAATGAATTGCCCTGGGTCACTGTTGATGAATGATCAAGTTGAGACTGGAATTTGAATGGGGCAGGGAAGGGGAACACTAACACACATTGTCTGTGGGTGGTAGGGTCCCCTCCCCTGTCACATGCATCATTTCATGCAATCTTAATAATTTACAAAGTTGCTATTACGGGATTCCTTTTTACTCCCGAGGAAACAGCCCTGGTGAACGTAACTTCCTTAAGGTAATACCACAAGGAGGTGACCTCAGGGTCTGATTTTAGGTCCATCAGACAGACCCCAAACCCTAGTTTGGCGGATGGGATGGATATCCCAATAGTTCCTCCTCACAAACGATCTGCCTCTCTCTGCTGCTGTCTTTAAGGGAACCAGTCCAGGGTCAGAGAGAGAGGTAGGTGGCTTCTTATGGCCAGAGACTGCAGAAATGTGGAAAATAGACGACATTCATAAATGTTTTCCCCAAAATTCTTTTAAGAATGAGAGTTAAATGCTATATCCCATAGTCCCATTAGTATTTTAGCTCAACTCTGCTTTTTTTTTTTTTTTTTGTACCAGGGGTTGAACCCAAGGACCACATCTACCAGCGCGTTTTACTTATTTTTTTGAATTTTGAGACAGGGTCTCACTAGGTTGCTTATGGCCACACTAAGTTGCCGAGTCTGGCTTTGAGCCTGCGATCCTCCTGCTTCAGCATCCTGAGCCTCTGGGATTACAGGCGTGCACTACTGTGCCTAACTAACACAGCTGTCCTGTGGGTACGTCACAAATAGTCTTGGGTGAGCTGAATGAGGCCTGGCCACCCAACCATTATAGCAGTTTATTTTTTTCTTTCTTTTTATTTTTTAATCTTGGCAAAAATTTCTCCTGATCATAGGCTTGACTTAAATGTACACTTGTTATCTGTAAAGTACCTGCCTTTTAAAGTGTGATTATTTTTATTGGTTTTTTTTTTAAAAAAAAAAAAAAAAAAAAACCCTGAACATCAGTGGCTTCTCCTCTCACTTTGCCTGAAGGCGCATTTTGTAAGCATTTTACCGTGTTCACTTTGGCCCTGTGTTCTTCCTGCCTGTGCCTCTTTGGTATTCTTTACTGTTCACTTGACTTCATCTCCACTGTCCTCTCATTTTCAGAATACTTTGTCAGCCTTCTTCCTGATTATCCCAC